TGCCCCTGAGGGAAATTGTATTGCCAGGAGCTGAGGGGGAGCTACATAAGGTGTGGATGTATGCTCTATTCTCAATAGCTGATTTATATAATTGGAAAAATCAAACTCCTAATTATAGAGAGAATCCAGATCAGATGCATGCCCTTTTTGCGTACATTTTCCGAACTCACCAGCCTACTTGGGCAGACATGCAAAGTCTGATGGAAATTTTATTAACTCCAGAGGAAAGAAGGATGGTGAAGGGAACCATGGATAAGGCTTTGCAGAAGGATCATGCAACAGATCCGGACTGGACATGTTTACTGGAGGGACCAGATTGGGAACCTCTGTCCATTTGGCTGCAAAACTATTGGACCTTAGGTTTGTTAGTACTCAAACAGGAGGTCCCAAAAGTTAAGAACTTGGGGAAGGTCTATCACATTCAACAGAAACGGGATGAAAATCCAGGGGAATTCCTAGAACACATTTATCAAACCTTTAGGCAATATACTGAATTAGATCCCGAGGCTGAAGAAAATCAGAGAATGGCCAATATGATCTTCATTGGTCAGTCTGCAGATGACATTGGGGCCAAATTACAGAAGACAGAGGGGGCCCCAGGAAAGGCGATCTCTGAACTTGTGGAATTAGCATACAAAGTGTATATAAAGCTCAAATCTCAGAGAAGAAAGAACTTCAAAGGGCAAGAAGAAACACAATTTTTCTCGCCGAGGTTCTTAGACAGGAAGAGCAGGAGGCCAGGGGAACAACTGCTGGAAGAATTGTACGAGGAGGTTGTTTGCGGGGATCGGTAGTTAGAATCCCATGCCTGGTCAGAGGAAGAGCCCTCCAGTTGGCAAAAGGGAAGAGGGTTAATGTCTACACAAACAGTAAATATGCATTTGGAGTTTTACATGCTCATGGGGCTATTTGGAAAGAAAGCGCTCACTGATTTTGTCACTCGATACATCCTGGCAAAAGGCCCACATGCTGTTGTTAATCAGGTCGCTGCAGCCTGTCTCCATTGTGCACAAAACAACCCAAAGACAGCATGGAAACCTTCTTTGGGAATTCTTCTACAGGGCTCATATCCAGGTGCTGTGTGGCAAATAGATTTCCCCAAATTTCCCCAGAAACTGGGATTTAGATATCTCTTGGTTTTGTGTGTACTTTTTCTGTGTGGGTTGAGGCTTTTCCATGCTGTACAAACAAGGCTAAAGAAGTAGCCATATCCAAACTCTGTCAGGAAGCCCACCTGCACTGGCTGCAGGCCATTCCCATAGCTTTGCTACAACTCAGAATTGCCCCACGAAAACATAGCAGCCTTAGCCCCTTTGAACTTCTGTATTCCTGTGTGCCTATTCGTTCTATAGTATAGGTCGGGAGGCTATGCATTTGGTGGGGGAGGAGACCCTCCATCAGTATGTGAGCCAGCTTGCTGGGGTTGTGAATTCTCTTTCTCATTACATGCCAAAAACAAACCCTTGGAGCTGGACCATCCAGTGCATCCCTTTCAACCAGATTGGGTCCTAGTAAAATTGTGGAGGCTCGACTCCTTGCTACAGGAGAAATGGAAAGGCCCATTCCAAGTGCTGCTGACCACATATACTACCCTGAAGGTGAAAGACCTGTCCTCGTGGGTCCATCATTCCCATGTAAAAAAGTGCCCAGACCAGGAAGTGCCAGAGTAGTGGACTGTGACCCCAAATCACAGGGCAACGGAGACTTGGGACTGGCATTTCTTTTCAAACGAAAGGACACCACCCAATCCGCATTTCCACACCTTCCTCTTGACTTTGCTGACTTGGCTCATTTCGAGGAATGGTAGGACTGCAATACACAGCTATAGGTGCAGTGAGTTTGGCCCTTGTGTTGCTGATTATGCTGACTGTGACTTGTCTTATTGGACATTTTTTTCTTCTGGAACCGTCCCGTCCCCAAGGAAGGAGGCATTGCCCCTGTGAACACAAATTGTGTGACAGTGACAGGTGTGCAACCCCTCTGGACACTTATGTTTGAAACACCTTGGGAGTTGGTCCCCTGGAGTCTGTTGGGAGTCTTGGGATTGTGGGCGTTATACTTGGCAAACAAAACTTGGCTCTGTGGGCAACCCAGGACTGAGACTACTCCTCCCCAGACCACACCCAATAACACTCAGCTCCCCGGTGTGTTGATTTTGTGATTGTAACTGCATCACTGAATGTTGTTATTCCCATTACTGTAACTGTTGTGGTGTGTGTGTGTGTGTGTGTGTGCTATCAAACTGTGTGTGAGAATTTGGACTGAACTCCTTGAACCTGAACCACAGGAGGAGGAAGTTGAGGTTCCTGATTTTCATGCTGAAGAGATCATCTCCATCTCAGACCTAGACGCATCGAACAACCTTCCTTATTTTCAAATTGGCAGGCATGAGTCCTCTATGGCTGTGTTTGGTGTTTGTGTGTGCCCTGCTGGTGGATAGGGTCCTGAACAACATCTCAGCCTGTTGTGAACATGGCCAGTTGCCTACTCCCACCCAAGAGGGGGGGGCCCTGCAGTTGTTAAGGAGCCTGAGGGGGGGAGGAAGGATCAGGGCCCATGGTTTGAGGTCCTCTGCAGCACCAAATGAAGAGAGACCTGAGCCAGTCCTCCCCCCCGTCACTGCTGTTGCATCTATCGTGTCCTTCATTGCCCCAAACCCAAGTTGGACAGAAGAATGGATATCATCCGGGCTAAAAGGGGGCCTATGCAACATTTGAGGGAAGGGGACTATATGCTGAAAATACTGAACATAGCTCAGAGTCTGGTCAACCAATCTGACCCGATTTTAGCCCAACAATGCTGGTTGTGTTTGTCTGCATCCCTATCAGCATACCACACAGCCCCTGTTATGTCTGAACTCTGGGTGAACACCAATGCCACCATAGCCTTTGAGAGCGGTGCCAGATTGGGGTGGGGGTGGGGGGATCCTGGCAGATGCAAAACTACATGATGACCTCTACGAAAACTGGGTAAGGTTGGGAGTCAGCCACCTTCCCATCATTGGCCCCGTGGCTGTTGGTGTAAGCCTTCTGGGGCCACATTCCTTATGTGTCAAAAGAAAACAGGACCCTCAGGAGGGCACTCTGGTGGGGGAAAGGATGGGGAGCCACCGGCAAGGGTGCCAAATGGAATTGACCATCAGCCCTCCTCAGAAAACGCATGAGGACATCAAAGTCACCCAACACATTTCCTCCTCCGCATACAAACTCTACAGAAACAAGGTCACTTTCTCTGCTCGGCTGCAGCTGCACATTACCAAACCGAGAGGAAACTCCACAAAGGGATCTTGTAAAAGCCAGTCTGCAGCACCCAAACTCCCACTTTGGCTCAGCAGCAACAAAGTGGGCTCAGACTATGCTCCTTTTCCCTCTGGAAATGAGAGCTCCCGCTATTTCCTGGAGCCTGAGGTTCCCTTTATCATTGACAAAGCCAAGGGACATGAAGAACCTCTACTCCAGCCAATAACTAGCATGTTTGGCAAGGACTTTGGGGATCTGGCATAATGAATACAAGCACTTTCACGCTTTCTCCATGAGCATGACAGTTTGTTTGGAAGAAAATGGGATCTTCTTCTTTTGTGTGGGGAATTCATATGTATGTTTGCCTTGCAACTGGACTGGGACATCTACCTTGGTACATCTTTTCCCAAAGAGGGTTGTTGTTGCTGGGGAACAGTCACTCCCATTCCCTCTCATAGGACATGGTCAGAAAAGGGTGCCACTAGTGATCCCACTGTTAGTGATCCTGGGGATAGGCACAGCAGTTGGGATAGGGGTGGGTGGTCTAGCTTACACTACAGTACAGTTTAAACAGCTGTCAGAGATGCTCCAACATAGCCTAGGTCAGATTGCCCGGACTTTAGTCAAAGTGCAAGACCAGATAGACTCTTTGGCAGGAGTAAGTCCTGCAAAATCGATGGGGCCTGAACCTCCTTACAGCTGAGAAAGGTGGTTTGTGTTTGTTTCAAGGAGAAGAATGCTATTTCTATATGAATAAATCAGGAATGGTCAGAGAAGCTGCAAAGGACCTGTAAGACAGAGCATCCCAGATTGGGCAGAGATTATTAGGGACAGACCAGTGGTTTTCATGGTTACCAGGAACAGCCTGGGTCAAACAGCTGCTGTTCCTGTTGCTGTGTGGGGTAGCAGGAATAGCCTTCATCCCCTGTGTGATCCCTCTACTCAGACAACTGGTTATGAGGTCAATAAAGCAAATTGTCAGCACTGGCCAGCTCAGGGAAGAAGACTGGGCCAGCTGCCAAGACTCACCGCCCCACCTACAGAAACTGAAGAAAATAATGCTAACAATCCATGATTAATTGCCGGGTGGTTTCGCTCTGGGTCACAATGTGATGGGTGTGCGCACGCGCGGGGTTCGGCTTATCTTAATTACCAATGTAGCTATAAAAGGTGGTGGGAAGCACAGGGTGGCAGCTCTGACAATTTATTCATTGCCTTAGTGCTTTGTTGGTCAGTTCATGACGAAGGAAGAATACAAACTGCATTTCAAACTAATAATGGACGTGGCAGTGGTTGGAGAAAGTCCCTGGAAAATGGATCCCAACAGGCAGGGGGAATCGTTGGACAGTCCAGCATAACCAATCCAGAACAGTATGGTGCCCAAGGGGCCGCAAGAATAGGAGATCAGCAGCCTGGGCTAGGTTTACTCCAAGATGCCCGGGACACCTGTGAGAGACGAGCGGCACAAGAGAGCTATGCACCCCACCCTCTCCTTACCCAGAGGGGGTCTCCAGCTTGTTATGGGCCCTGAGTGATGGGATGCTGGGACCCACCGGCAATACAGGCTACGTTTGACGGTAGCCTGGGACGAGTGGCCCTCTTCTTGGGCCAGGTGTTAAATCACATGGATCGTTACGGCCATATGTATACATCGCAGTGGGACATGGTGATGGTCATGATGGCAGTGATGGATGGAGAGGCTGCTGACTGGGTGGCTGATCTGTATTGGGATCATGCTGGGAAGACATTGGTCTGTTCCTGATGGCACTGCGGGAGAAATTTGAAGATACCACCAGGATCCAGCGGGCGGAAGCAGAATTGCAGGCTACAAGACAACAAGGGAAGCCAGTAGCTGAATACATCAGAGAGTTCCGGCATCTGGTCAGCAAAGTGAGGATGTGGGCATAGAGGTTGGTGGTGCATTACTTTAAGACCTGTCTTGACCGAACACTACGCCAGACCTGCGTCTACAGAGGGTTGCCACCTAGACTGACTGCATGGTTCCAGGTCACCACGGAATTAGCTATAGAATTCCACAAGGATAAGCAAGGACGGGAGAGGGGTAGGCGAGGACAAAGACTGCAACAGATGCATCGTATCAGAGTTGCCCCAAAACCCCCGCAACCCACAGCGGTTTCCATGGGGCAACCTCCATCCTCGATGGCAGCTAGACTGACAATGCCCATCCGGCCACCCATAACATGTTTTGAATGCAGGAGGCCGGGGCATAGACCGGCAGTCTGCCATGAGACCGGTCCTACAGTGTCCGTGAGCACACCAAGGGAAAAAAAGGGGGTGGCCAGGAAGAGCGTGAGGGGCAGCCAAGAGAAGTCAGATGGGGCAAGTCAACCAGTTCCTATACCAGTTGACTCCAGCCCATCGGGTGACATGCTCAATACCGGTGGAAGTGACTGGGGGGAGGGTTCCAACCCAGTGATAACTAAGCCTATCAAACCGTTTGTGATACAGGTGGTGATGGAAGAGACCAGGCAACGACAATGTACAGCCCTGATCAATTCAGGGTGCACTCGTTGCTTAATGAATGACATAGTCGCTGATAGTCTGGGGGTGAGCCTCAGGAAGTTGGCTGGGCCAATCCATTTTGAACAGATGGACGGGTCATTATTGGGGGGCCAACCAGCCACACATGTAACTGATCAGGTGGTATTGCAGATAGGGCCCCATCGGGANATGATAGATAGATAGATAGATAGATAGATAGATAGATAGATAGATAGATAGATAGATAGATAGATAGATAGATAGATAGATAGATAGATATTGCAAAGACTTGAGCTGTCTTTGTCTGGAATACCACCTGGGATTTTGAATAAATGCCACTATTTACCATATTTTTCGGAGTATAAGACGCACTGGAGTATAAGACGCACCAAGATTTTGAAGAGGCAATTTTTAAAAAAAAGCTTTTGCACTCTGCAGACCTTTCAAAAATGGCCCGTTTTTCACAAAAAAGGGCCCATTTTTCGCCAAAAAAGGCATGCATAGCCTTTAGGAGGTTTGTAGATTGCTCCTGGGAGCTGGGGGGAGCCAAAAATGAGCAGAAAACCACTCATTGTTTACTCATTTTTGCCCTCCCCAGCCCCCAGGAGCACTCTACAAATAAATGCATATAAATTCATTAAATTTACAATTTAATTTACTCTGGAAGCCTCCTAAAGGCTATGCACGACCATTTTTGCAAAGAGGGCGGGGTTTCAGGAGACCAAAAATGCAACATTCAATGTATAAGACGGACACAGATTTTCACCCTTTGGGGGCGGGGGAGGAAGATGTGTCTTATACTCCAAAAATATGGTAAGTGGTTTATCTAAAGCATGTGTTTTCCAATAACATACAAACCATAAAGATACATGGAATTCAAGATGCTGCCTTGTTTTTTTAATGCCAGCTTGTCCTCAGAAATGTTTGTCAGCATATATTAATTGTCCTTGCTTTTGGCTTGCTTGTTTTAAAAGCCCAAGCATCAGCACAACAGTGTGACTTGTGAAGTAACAACTGATTAAATGTTTCCTCCCCCTCAGATAATACATATAAACCTGGGCTCTATAACGCCATATGTAAGCGGTCCGAAAAGAGCCCAAGATAGAGTGGCTGTAACCAACATGAAGAGCGACTTCCAAGCATGCTTAAGTGAAAAGGTAGGTACGGTTTGAAAGTCCATCTTGCTGTTTTTCAATCTCGGCAGGAGAATTCCCCCCTGGGATATTGAAGGCCCTTTCCTATCAGTTGGGATGTTTTGAAGATTATAAGGACTATCTACAGCAGTATTTCTCAACCTTGGACACTTGAAGATAGAATTCTGGGAGTTGAAATCTGCCTATCTTAAAGTGGCCAAGAATTCCGGGAATTGGTCCACCTATCTTAAAGTGGAGCCGAGGTGGCACAGTGGTTAGAGTGCAGTACTGCAGGC